TTAAAACCGGAGGTAGCATATAAGAAATGGCTCGTGAATAATTCATCACGTGAAACAAATATATCTATCTTGATGATTAGACCTGACAACAAATATATTTTAAAATATGAAAGATCTATTAAATTGATTAATACACTGATCAACGCCTAGTTAAATGTTCTTACAACCAAACAAATAATTTTAAATTACAAATTTAAAAAAAATTGTAAATGTATTTACAGTTTACACTTCTTGCAACCAAAAATGGCAGGAGAGGTCGATAAACAAAGCAAAATTATGGCTGCATTGAGCGGGGGTAGTCCTCCGGACGGCTGACATCCGGTTGTTAAAGAGCCAGTGTAGGGTTTTATTATAGTCCCAATAGGAAGAGATAAAGCCCAGAGGGGGGGTCCAATTCTAATAGCAGCCCAGGCTCAATTCAGGTCAATCATTGGGTCCAAATTTGAGCATAACCCAACTGTGATTTGAGGACTATCCTTAAACCCTAAACCACCGCAAGGGCGTCGAAGTATACCTATAAACGTTGCCTCGCCAGTCGCCAGCCAGCCATCGTTGGTGAAGAAGGCGGGTGTCACATTGCTGAACACTAACAATGAGGCCCCCGAGAGGCGGTCGCGGCGGAGGATTTAGAGGGGGTCGTGACGGTGGCCGTGGGAGAGGTGGTCGTTTTTTGGTGTGGCAGGGGCGGCGGTGGCTTCCGCGACGAAGGCCCACCTACTGAAGTCGTAGGTTTGTTGCCTTTTCATTCAGGAGCTGGGAGGTTTTTATGTTTATACCTTCCCCCTCTCGCTTTTGGGGTTTCAACCTAAGTCTTGTAAGACTGAAAAAAATGTCACTCGCTCTTCATGCGCTTGATGGCTTAATTTTTTTGTTTCGGAGTGTGATGGTGCAATAAACGAATACGTTGTTTTTCAAGATTCAGTTGGAAAATGGAAACAGCAATTTTCTGGGTTAACGATTCAAATGTTTATGTCTGGCTTGTAGGGGAAAGTTCTTCAGTGTCCTGCGTTTTGTTTATCTCAAATTTTACGTCATTTCTTTATTGCCTTTTCTGTTTTTATTTAGAACAAATGATTGATATGCATATTGAAGATGCTCCTTGACGTGTGCAGAGGTCTCAACCTTTATGCATGCATGTGAAGGAGATGCGGTCACAAAACTTACAAATGAGAAAATTCCTTACTTCAATGCCCCTATATATCTGAAGAACATGACTCAAATGGTAAAGTTGATGAAATATTTGGCCCCATTAATGAATCTGTGAGTTCTCATTTGTATTCCAGTTGGTCGATACCTTCTGATTTTGTCTTATATAGAAGCTGGCTGTGATTTTCCTTTTCAATTGCACAATTGCAGTACTTTTCAGTTAAAATGATGGAAGGAATTGTTGCTACTTCTTACTCAGCTGGTGATAAGTTTTATATTGACCCGAGGAAACTGTTGCCTCTTGCGAGATTTCTTCCACAACCAAAGTATGTTCTCTACACACCTCACCGCTTAAAAATAGCATGTCAATGTGGGCAATTTATGGTGACGTGATCTTCAATTTTAAATAATTGTTCAAGCATGCAAATCTGAGTTATGTTGTATTATTTGTTCAAGTATGTCTTATTTCGACAATACCATTTGGTGTCATTTATTCAATAGCCATACATACATTTGCTGATGTCTTACGGTGAAATTTTGTCTGGTAACCACGTGATGGGATATAAGCCTATACCAAGCGGCATCTTTTCTCTTCTGATCTGTAAGGGATTTATTTCAGCCCAGAGATTGTGGAGAATGGAGATAGAGTTGGGTTGATCCGTGCCGCTTAATATTCCTTTTTGATTTATCTATCTTTTATTCCTGGCTCTAGCTGTTGGTTTTTTTTGGGAAAACACTCATCTGAATATTCATTTAAGCCAAAAGAAACCTGTAGGCTATGTTGAGACGATCAAGTTGTTCTTTTACATTTCCACTTATGTAGCCCTTATCAGAAGTTCCATCAAGTGCTTCATACTATTCATTAAGTGTATTTACTTCTGTGAAATCTCTTCATCCTGCCATACGATATAGTTTGCCCCATTGTTTATATATATTGATCTGGTGTGGGGATGCTGGGATTGATCCTCAGCACATTTTTTGTCTCTAGAGGTTGTAAAGCTGTTAAGGTCATCAAGTAAACATGATTGCCTGGTTTTTTTGTCGCAGGGGACAGCCACAAGCTGCTAGAGGAGGAGGCCGTGGCGGAGGCAGAGGTGGTCGTGGAGGAGGCCGCGGAAGAGGTGGCCCAAGGGGTGGGAGAGGTGGTCCCCGGGGCGGTGGCCGCGGTGGTTTCAGGGGGAGGGGGAGATGATAGGATCATTTTGTGTAACGGTTTCATGGTACTTCAGTCATTTTACCTTGGAGATAACATAGGACGCCTAATCGAAAAGATATTTGATGCCTGTGGATTGAGTGATTCCATCGCATGCTTCTTTAATTATATTGATTCCAAATTTCAAGTTTATTATGCAGGAAATCTCTGAATTACAAAAGATTGTGATAAATTGCGAACTGTTATTGCAAAGGATGAAGAAACAACTCCATTTTTTTAGTACGTCAATAACTTAGTTCTAGAAACGCTTTAATTAATTCTTTGAATATAAATTATCTTTCCTTTGTTTGTAGAATCGGTTTTCTTAAAAATTAAAGTAGTCCTTTGCTAAAGCTCTGAATCTCGTGACAAAATGTGGTCGTGTGATACAAGCGAGAATGTGTAACTGTCAAGATGATAATATGCCTTTAATTTCTCTAAAAATGATGAGTGGAAGTGTTCATGGAACAATGTAATGGTCAAAATTAATTTGTAAAAATCGATCCCCTGGGCAACTATAGATCTTTGGTTTAGCATTTCGACGAGCTCTTAGAGCTTCATTAGTTGCGCTGCCAATTCCGCTAAACAAGTCGAATTCTGCACAAATGATACTAGTTCTGGTCTTTAATATAAGATCTTGTTTGATTTTTATTTGGGTTCTAAATATAATACTACAATCCACTCTGTCTTTCATATTTATTTAATTTTTTTTAAGATAGTCCTTCTAATAATTATAGTTTTAGTTAATACACTTGATTAGCAAGGATATTTTAAGAAAAACAACACTTTTTAGAACAAATAACTAACTCAACTTACTTCCTTAATTTTATCAAATTAGTTAACTGGCTCTTATAATTAGGATCGGAGGTAGTATAGATTATTCTGAATGAAGCAAAAAAGAAAAAAACTAGAATACTAAATTGAAGATTCTAGTTTGTAGAAAAAATTTTTATGGTCGTTATTTTTTATTACGGTTTTTTTTTTTTTTTGTTTGGACTGACCTCAGTAGGAGAATCCTGACTCCTGATCAACTCTGGCTCAAACCTGGTCTTCAGACGGGGATGCAATTGAATGTACGAACAAAGCGACCAATTATTTGAAGAGGGATTAGTATATATTACTCTTTAATGTGATCTAAATAAAATTTTTCAAAAATTAAAATTAGTAAATTAATTTAAAAATAAAATCCATATATCAGTTCATATTTAGAATCAAAAGCAAACTCCTAGCTAATTCTTACCTTTCTAAACTAGAAATATTATTAAATACTCTTCTTTCGTATTTAATAAAATTTGATTAGATTAATAAAGTGATAAGTTAATTAATTATAAAAATATGATACTCTCGGTCCTTATTATAAGACCCATTGACTTTTCTTTCCTAATTGTAAGAAATATTTTCTCTATTATATATGCATTTTTTCCAAGATAATCCTTCTAATAATGATAGTTTTAGCCAATATACTAATTAGCAGGATATAGAATAACAACACTTATTTATTATAACCTTAACTTACTTCCTTAATCTCCTCAATAAGTCAATTGGTCTATAATTAGGAGGAGTTTTTTTCTAAAACACCATAATCATCTTCTTAATATCCTCTCTCCTTCTCTTATTGATTATAATTGAGGAGTATCATATGTTTATATTTACAATCAATATTAACTCAACAATTAAGTTTTATATTAAAAAAAAGAAGGATAATATTCATATTTTTGTGTGGAACAAAAAGAGGCAGGTTAGAAGTAGATGGCGGAGTCAAAGTAGAAACACGGAACAAATCAGCAAAGCAGAGCCTGAGGTGTTCAATGGCTTCCTTTGTTCCATTTCCATCCATCCTAACTCATCATCCTCCTACTCAGCAAAATCTGCTGACTTGGTCCGGGGAAGGCACCATAATAAATTAAATATTTTTGTTCCATGTCTGATTTTACGCTCCTCTTTTCCCCCAAGATAATCTCCATTGGTATGATGTGGTATATGTATATTAAAGAATATAAAATTACTCTGTGAACTATCCATTTCCACGAGTTCAAAGTGTGCATCACAGGCGAGAAGTTAGAATGAGTAAGAAGGAGTGGATGGTCGGGAAAGTCATATAGAAGCCTTCGATGAAATGGTAAAACTCATTTATGCCTATGACACGCTTTTGCCTCTCTTCTCGACCATATATGTAAGTTATACATAACTGCTTCTCCAAGCAATCGCAATCCAACCTTCTCCCTCAATCTCTCGTTTCGCTGTTAAAACAGAGATAAGCTCCCACTCTCGGGTCATATTCTTGCTTCTTTCGCATCCCCAAGTATGTGCCCTCTCAGGTTCATGTTGGTTTTCTTCTCCGCTTTACTAGCCGGATACCTCGCCTGGACGACTCTGCGTTTCTCCTCCGAACTCGAGACTTCTTCCTCCGGCGATCAGTCTCCCTCCAAAACCAAACATCTTAATTTCAGAAAGGTAGGGCACTCTTCAATTCTATCTGGAGCTAACTTCCCCCCCCCCCGTTATGAAACGGATCAGTGCCCTAAATCGTGTGAGGCGAATGTTTCAGATGATTGGAAACGGACTCTGGGTATTGGTGGACATGGCCAGCGGGAAGTATCTGTGGAGGAATTTGAGGTCCCTCAACAAAGATATCCAAGTCAATGACTCTTAGGAGCTCATCATGACTTCTTATTCTTGTTCCCATTGTTTGTGTCCAAGTAAATTCTCTTGATATTTCCCCCCTTTGATATGGATGTAGAATAACTTCCATTCATTTTGATTTTTACATGTGGCTCGTATCTGGATTTCTCCCCGAATGGTCAATTCCATCGATATGGCTGAAGACCAAAACAGAACATTTATTTCTTCTTTTTTTTTTGTGCGAATTTCTTGGGTCAAAGAATTTCTTAATTTCGAGATTTGAGCACAAAACAATGGTGCACGACAATATATGAAAGATATACAGGTAAGACCGTCGCCTTCCTCGATTTGGTCTCATGTTTTTAATCAATGTTCCGTAATTAAATTATTAAATTCTTATAATATCACTTGATTTTTAAGTAGGTCAAAAAAATTATCAAAAATCAGATAAAATTTTTAAGACCTTGTGAAGAAATTATCTAATTAAAAATAGATGAAATTATAAGAAATAAAAATTACAAAAAGCTGATTATAAATAAGATGGAAGGACCTACGGATTAAATACAGTTTCACTTTCACGGCTATATATACGAGAGGTAAGAATTTTGGCATGGTTCTAATACAAAGGACATGGAATAGAACGCCCACGTTCCCATATATAACCGGTAGCTTCTGTTTAACGCGGGAAGAAAACAAGAAAGGGCGCGTCCACATTCGTTCATTCATTTCACCTAAACGGCAAATCAGAGTCCTTTGAAAGAGGGATTACCTAAAAAAAATCTGAGATTGTAATGCGTCACTTCCTCCGCCTTTGTCTTCGCCTTTCCCTTCCCTCTGGCCCGCAGCGTTTTCGACTTGCGTACTTAAACTTCGTTTCCTAAATCTCTGATCAATTTCGCACGCAATCTACTTCGGCTCTCAGCCACTATTTTTTTTTTTCTCCAGGTATTCAGTCCCATTCTCTTCATATGCTGGTTTTGAACTCGATTTTGCTTGATGGTTTGAGTTTCAATGTTTTGTTCTTTGTTTTATTTGGGATACGGAGGTTGATAGAAGTTGCATTTCCTTCTATTGTTCATTTTGAACCTTCGTGATCATGCCTTGGGTATAATGACGCTATGGGTTGATGCTTGTTACTTGGTCGATTAATTATGTCGACCAGTTCATTTTCGATAATTCGATTTGTCGTATCTTGTTACCTTTTCGGCCTTTTGTGAGGCTGGAAAGAGAGAATATTCTTCTCAATGTAACCGCATGTAGATATCAGGCAGGCCGGAATCCTGTGTGATGTTGAGAACTGTGAGTCCGTCTCTACAATTGGTAAGGGGAAAGAGGGGCGGAGTTTCGCATTGTAAGGACTGCGGGGACACAGACCCTTGGAGAATTATAAATGATATTTGATTCTATGAGGATGTGTGAAGTGGAGATTCCGAGCTTTCACCTGCGTAGATTGTTTACAATATGTTGACTGACAAAATACTTCCGCTCACATCCTAGTGTTTTGTTAAAAAAGGGATAATATTAATATAAAACATAGCAGCACTCTCACTTTCTTCATTTTCGTTGTGGAAGGGGGAAAAAAAAAAAATACTGCGTTACTGCTCACAGTTTTGCGTTTTTATTTAGCTTTTATTACAGCAGCTCTGTTCGAGTAGTATGTTTTGAATATTAGTATTTGTTGGGTTGCAATTAATGGTTCATATTTATAAACAGGGCTAGCGGAACTGTTTACGATGTCAACTTTGGGCAATTCAAATAATATATTTTGGCAAGAATGTCAAGTAGAAAAGCTTGACAGGCAGAAGCTACTAAACCAAAAAGGATGTGTTGTGTGGATTACGGGTCTCAGTGGATCAGGTTTATATTGTTAGCCTAACTTGATTATTGCTTGAATTTTTTTTTTAATACCGGATCTTGTTTATGTTGATTTTGAACAGCAAGCATACTGTATACTACATTTTCTATGCTTCTCCCTTTGTAGGCCGCCATCGGAAGCATTTACTGACATGTGATGTTCATGATTTTCATCAGTTTCTTCTTGCTTCATAAAATTGAGATCGCCTTTTTTTTTTTTTTTCTCCTTCTTAACCACAGGCCTTGGTCATTCTGTAACTGTCACGCAACAATTATTTAATCCTAGGCCATCATTGTCGTACTGATTTCTCCCCCCCCCCCCCCAAAAAAAAAAACCTAAAATTATACAGGAAAAAGCACATTAGCCTGCTCGTTAAGCAGAGAACTTCACTCAAGGGGAAAGTTGTCTTATGTCCTTGATGGAGATAACCTTCGGCATGGATTAAACAAAGATCTTGGTTTTAAACCAGAAGAACGTGCTGAAAATATACGCAGAACTGGTAAGCTTGCTTATATAAATTTTCTGAGGAAATGAGGTGGCTTGGGTTTGATGATCAATTTGAATGGGTTTTTTCATTCATTATGTTTCAGGAGCAGATATAAGAGTGATTTCAATGTTTTTAAAATGATTGATACGTATCAAATTTCCCTTTAGTTATCAAACCAGACTTTTTAGTTGCTATATACTTTCCTACTTGGTTTTTCTGATGAGCAAATTATCCAATTCAGGAGAAGTAGCAAAGCTCTTTGCTGATGCTGGTTTAATATGTGTTGCCAGTCTGATATCTCCATATAGAAAAGATCGTGACATGTGTCGTGCCATGATGACTGATTCTAATTTTATTGAGGCATGGCTCAGGAAGAAATCTCTCCTTGGAACAACTTATCTTTTTGCTGATAACTTGTTTTGCTTGTTTGATATTTGATGGTGGATTCTCCTTTTACCCACATATGCAGGTCTTCATGAACATGCCTCTAGAACTGTGTGAGGAGCGAGATCCAAAAGGACTTTATAAGCTTGCTCGTGCTGGAAAGATCAAAGGTGTGTGTTCCTAATCTATTTTTATGCGCTTTACATGCAGCTTTCCACTGTCCCCACCCCACTGAAATAAGAAAATACGCAGCCGGGAGGGTGTTTGGGAGAGGAAAGCAGTTTAAATTAAGGAAAGGAAGCTCTCGCCTCCCCCTGGAATATGAAATTTGTTCTGCACTGTCTGCTGTGGTTTAATATGAGGAATAAAAAAGTCAGCATATAAAGTTAATTAGCTTATATATTTTAAAATTTTGATGGTCGCAATATGTCATGCCGGCACATAATTTTCTCATAAGTGAGGGAAGAAACTTTCAGTTTATTGCCTTAGCTTCTGAACTCAACTGCGTTGCTTTTTATTTTCGTAGGCTTTACTGGTATTGATGATCCTTATGAACCGCCCGAAAACTGTGAGGTACTTATTCATGGAGCCCTCTAAGATTCCTATACCAGTATATAATGTGTTTCTTCTATTTGTATGCTGACGTTAGTCTTCCCATTTTTCAGATAGAAATAAAACAGATAGATGGAGTTTGCCCACTACCTACTGCCATGGCTGGACAAGTAGTTTCTTATTTGGAAGGGAAAGGATTTCTTGCATCCTAGGAACTTGATAGCCTTCATCTCTTGGATGATCCTCCGCAATATAAGTATGCTTTTTCAGTTATATGTGATGTGGGATAAAGAAAGGAGGCTTTTAATGTTTTAATAACTACAAAGTCTTGAGTGGATAAACATATGATTTTAACTTAGCTTGTGATTGTGTTCTTTGCACCCCTGATCTTTCCTTCTGATTGTGATTGCGACTACTCTATTTTTACAAGCTGACAGTTTCGAATATATTTTGCACTTGAAGGTTAGATTCAGAATCTGCTTAGCACGTGCTTGCCATGGCCAGTCTCACGCTGAAGCTTCTGACAGATGAATAAGCCATATGGGCCCGGCCCTATAAGTTGTTTATTTTTGTAAGCAGACAAACTCGAATGTATATTTGTATCATTTTTCTTAAGAATTGTTTGGGAATTGGGATTACCTATATTTTAGTACCCCACAAGCCTTTACTATTACTTCCAGTCCTTAATATAAAATCCTGTTTGATTTTTATTTTGGTTTTAAATATAAGACCCCAATCCATTTTGTCTCTCATATTTACTCAATTTTTTCCAAGATAGTTTTTCTAATAATTATAATTTTAGTCAATACACTTGATTAGCAAGGATATTTTAGGAAAGATAACACCTATTTAGGACAAATAACTAACTCAATTTATTTTTTTAATCTTTTCAAATTAGTCAACTGGTTCTTATAATTAGGACCGGAGGTAGCATTTACATATGAATGACGATAAGTTTATTTGAAATGAATTAAGCTAACAAGTCAATATCAAAACTGAATTTATTTTTTGTAATCAAATAAGACAATTTTAATAAAGTATATCCTAAAGGATCGAAAGGGATTTTTTTTTTTTGGGGGGGGAGGGGGAGGAAAGCCTAGTAATCATTATATAGCAATTGGACGAAACATCCAAAACATTGGCAATCTCCTGATCAAGCATGGGATGATGGGATCCACCTGCCCCCATGAGACGGTAAGAGTCGTATTTATCATTTTCTGATAACAGGCTAAACAATACGGTCCCAACATATAATTGTAAATAAGTAGTTGGCCCAAAAAATCTAAATAAATGACTAAAGTTCAACCAAAAAAATAGTAGTAATAATATAATAATAAAAATAATAATAATTGACCGAAGAACACTGAATAAATAATTAAATATTATTGTCCCAGCAACGCAAATGCGGATCCGTTGGGTTGATTGAGCTAATCGGATTTCAGAAACGACGCGTTCCGACGAAGGCCAGGAGGTTGGTGAGAGCAGAGGAAAGAGATGGTGTTGAGTACTGGAGCGGCGGTGAGGGTGGCCCAAGTCTCAGCCAATCTCTGTCAATACATATCCTGCAATCCCGAGCGGTTGAGCAGCGACACCGTGTTGCGCCTCCTCTTCTGCCTCCCTTTCCGCCGTTTGGCCCTTTCTCTTTCCACTTACCTTGGTTTTACCGCCTTTCCCCCTTCTGCCGCTGACAACGCCTATTTCCACTCCGATTGATTTCTCTTCCCTCTCTCTCCCTTAATCGATCCATGAATGATCGCTATGCCACTGTGTATTTCAGATCTATTTCTTTGACGTCTCTGTATGCGTGGATCGCCTAACTATTGCACTGAATCGAGCATGCGGCTTCTTGTGATGGGTACGATGCTTTTAGATTACGAGTCCAGTAAGCATCGTTCGTATAAATTACGGTCGCACCTCTTTAGATTTAATAGCTGATCGTTTCCCATCATATGTTGTAATTAGGGTAATGTACCGCACACCCAAAAGGGAGCATTGGATGAAACTATACAACAAATGAAACTTGGATCTAAATTCACCAAATAAATATGATGGAATTTTCCAGCTTCTTTTCTTTATACAGCTTCCCTGCCTGGTATTGTTTCTTTTGTGTTTTGCACTTCCTGGCTCTGTAACATGATCACAGGATCAAACAAGCTGTACAAGAAACAATATATACATCACCAAAACAGGTCCAAAGTAATATTTTGTATTCTTGCCTTCCGCTAATGACTTGTTCTCTTAAAACTCTATGTCTTAAAAGCTTGTTATCACATTGATTTTGACATGGTAGTTTTCTCTGTGTTCTCCACATTTTGTTAACTTGATGGGCCTGTTTTCTTTTTGCTTTTTTCCCCCTTCGAGTTTTTGCTATAGATTGGTCAGGGGAAACACAGTCTAATATCAAGTTCTTATCTCATATACAGGCAGAGTTTGCAGTAATTTATTACCGCCTCTTGTATTTAATACTACCTCCGGTCCTCTAATTGATTTTTATTTTATCTTAAATATAAGATATCAATTTATTTTGTCTCTTATATTTATATATATTTTTTAAAGTAACCTTTCTAACAATGATAGTTCTAGTCAATATACTTGACTAGCAAAGATATTTTAAGAAAGACAACACCTATTTAGGACAAATAACTAACTCAACTTACTTCCTTACTCTCCTTAAATTAGTCAGCTGGCTCTTATAATTAAAACCGGAGGTGGTATTTAATAAAAAAGCTATTTTGATATTAAATCTCATTATGAATATAGGATTCTAATTCACTATATATTTTATGTTTATCTATTTTTTTTTAAAGTTTGTCTTTATAATAGTTATATATGTTAGATATTTCAGATTAGGATTTAGGAGGAATATTTTGAGAAAGACAATATCTATTTATTACAAATAATCAACTTAACTAATATTTTTAACATATTTAAAATGAGTTTTATATTTAGATCGGACGACTAATAAATACGTGCGATATGCTTATGGCGACCAGTTCTTTATTTCACGATTGTGCTCTTTTTAATGTTTGAAAAAAGAAAAAAACAAAAGGTCGCGCAATTTTTATTTTCTTCCCATGCAAAACGGGGAATGACGAATGAGCGGTAAATGACATGGGAGGGCAATTTACTTAATTTTTACTGACATTAAACTTGTAAAGCAGCTACTGGGTGTAAGACAAAATGGAAGCAATTGTTTATTGTCAGCTTGCCCCTTTTACTGTAACCGAATTGGCTTTATGACCTGTTTGGCAAATCTTTAAAACTATGATTTGGATCCCAAATCTGCCAAACAGAGGGAAAAATAAAAAAATAACAGTTTTGGACTTAAAATCATTATTTCAAAATAAATGAATCTATTCTGTTTTAGGCTCAAATTAGAGAGTATAATTGTACCTGTTAGAATAAATCTCACTAGTAATATGATTTTAATATTCTTCAATTATTTTTCTATAAACATATTTAATCTTATATTTTATAAATATATATATACACATATTAATTATTTATTAATTACATTATCTTATATATTATTATTATGTTAATAAAAAATATATTATTAACAATTTTATTTATTCAAATTGAAATATATTATAAAATCTATCTTTTATCTAATTATCATATTAACTTATATCATTTTTAGTAATTTGTACATATAAAAAGTATTTCTGATAACAAATATCCAAACACTCTCACTTTATCAGAATCAATTTTTCACAAAATCTATTTTCTAAAAGCTATTATTCAAA